CCCCAAAACCCCAAAACCCCAAAACCCCACAAGATCATTATATTTTTTAAAAATTAAGTTGTCAAGAAATTAAATTAATTAAAGGTATGTTGATTAGTAGCAAATAATGTTATTATCTTTTAATACTCACATTGCAGCAATTTCCTTGTATGCCTGCAGAGTCTGCTTTACTTCACTTACCTATGACATGTCAAACTTGAGCAGATGAACTGACAGGCCTCCATTGCTAAAATTAAGCTCTTTAGACCATCCACAATTAGAGAATTTTTCAAAGCTAAGTTTGTGGCCATAGTGATGAGATTGTGCAAGGACGAAAGTATTCTTCTCGAGGGAAGGATAGTTTCTGATGAATTTACCAAATCTTCTGTATATGTTTTGTAGATCAGTGTCTGTATGTCTTTGCTTTTCCTTTGATTACTCTCCATATGGAACATTAGTAAGGATAGTAAAATCTTGGAAATTCTCTGTGAGTGAGGCTAACTAGCTTCCAATTGATTAGAAATCACCTTAATAAAGACTAAGGAGTTGGTTTCTATCTGTTTATTTAAAATCCATCAGGACAGAGGTAGCAGCCTCTCCATTCTCATCATATGAATACTTTGGCCAGTGAGAGCTGAATATCATGGGATTATTGATAAAGCCCCTTAACCTTGGTGCGACTAATCCTCTCTATATAAGTTTCTCAATATCTGAATGATCACAATTCTTGATGCTGGTCTCAATAGCTTTCTGACTTACATCACTGCCAATTATCTAAATATCAATTTAGTCCTTCTTTACCATCTTTTAATAATCATTCAATTCTTCTTTAAATTTTTCATATTGCTCCCTCTAATGCACAGGCCAATATTAAAATGGCAAATTACCATCAAAATTTCTAACTGGTTACTCTAGAATCATCATCAATGTCTCAATTAAGAAACTACCAGAACCACAGAAGGGATCCCATAGATACAGCTTACCTGTATGATTAGCCTTGGCTATGATGTTTGATTCTAGTATACAAGCAGCAGTTAAAGTCTCTTTGAGTACACCCCATCTCACAAATGGTTTATACCCGTGCTTGTGTAAATCTTCATAGCTTGTTCCCACTAGAATTTCACCTCTGTCTTTGACTATATTAATTTATATTCTGCTGATTGTTTTAAGATTTTTTTTAAATTCTATCTTTGACTTTAATTCTGCTTTAATTTCATCTAAAGTCTTAATTTTTCGACGGCCTTTTCCTTCACTCTCTATCTAAGTTGATTCAATTGTGTGGCCATCGATATCAATAGTATTCTCTTCTTCATCATCGCTCTCTTAGATTTTTTCTTTAACTCTTCTATCTATATCATCTTGTTCTTTTCTCTCTTTCTTCTCTAACCATTGCTTTTTGAATTACTTATATGGCATGTTTTAAGGTCCTTTTCCATTCATGCCTTTTAATAATGAAATTTTGAAATCTCTTTTGATCTGGATCTCTGTCATTGATTTGATTAGAATATCTCTTATTAACTGTGTATGATAGAGTTTAGAGGAATGAGTCTTAGCTCTTGTTTATGGCATCTTAAACATATGCTCTTACTATTATTAAGGATTAGGAAGGTAACAATGCCAGGGTAATTTTTCAAGATTCTATTCTAGTTCTTTTTCTCCTCTAGCTCTAAATGGCTGAGTCATTCTCACTTATATATCTTCTGCAATCCTACTTTTATGCATCATTTTCCATAGAGATTCCTCAGGCCCCTAAACTTCAATGATCTTGCGGCCTGTAAGCTTTCTCGGCTTAGAATTAACTAAATTTAATGATTTTAGCTCCTTCATTAAAGTTTTCTCCAAACCAACAGGTGGTCTTAGTCTGTAAGTAAATATTGTGGCCGACATTATTTATTTATAAGTTTAACTATTCTATGATTGTAAAGCAAAAATAAGCTAGGTGGGGTTTTGGGGTTTTGGGGTTTTGGGG